CAATTGAAACACACGCAAGTCTTCTTCCGCGGAGTTTCTCCACAGAATACACTGCAAATAGGTATTCTCGGGCGAGAATCTTACACAACGATACATCTTACAGATATCTCCCGTAATCGCAGCGGCGTATGACCAGAATCGAACAAGAATATGAAACAGTTTGGGTTGGATTACGGGACTAGCCATTAAAACGTCGTTCAGGGAATATCCAGATGAGGTTGAAGCGGATCCATCAAAAACGACGCGAAGCTTGGTCGTAGAACTATCTTCCTTCATGACGCAATGGTGTGGCAAAAAATATCGGCAGTTGCTGATTGCCTGGGTAGGAACCTGAGACATATGGCCTAAATCAAGGTACTCCTTTATAAATGCTGCATACTGAGATTTAACATCAGGGCGACGATCTAACTTTCTCTCAAGGGTCAGGAATCTACAAGCGCTTCGTAGATTCCTGACCCTTGATTGTAAAATTCTCCCAAGGAGATCAATATCCTATATTTAGCTGGCAGACGAACACAATAATCGCCTTTATGTAATCGACAGCAATGCTGGACAAAGTGTGGTTCACAATCTAGCTCTTCTTTGGTAGACTTTACTATTGGTTCGATGCAATTTTCTACCTCTCAAAACCTCCGAAGAAGCACCTCAAGCCGATCCTCTGGACTATTCTCCTCAGCAGCTACGGCCTCAGCGCGAGAGACCATCAAAGAGGAACCTTTTAAACGGGAAAGACGTCCAGACACGACCCCTCCCAAGCGCGTTTTCTAAATTAAAGGCAATCCTGGCAGTAGCTTGACCTGACCAACACACAGGAGCTCGAAAAACAGACTTGCGCCAATTAGCAGATCGACGCGCTGCGGCTTATAAAACTCCGGATCAGCTAGTGGTATGTTAGATGGAATGTTCCAGTTTTGAGTGTCAATTCCAAAGCTTGGCTGTCGATCGGTTATGCTAGAGGCTACAATGGCAGTGATGAGAGTTGAGTAATCCGATGAGCGAGAGTGCAGGCTAACGTTGACCGAAAATCCATCCCTGACGAAGCTAGAGTCGCCTATTCCCGAGACTGCAGTCGAGGTGCACTGAATTAATCGATGCCCTGTTCTTAGACAATTAGAGCCGCTTGGCTTCTTTATGGCGATTTGTGGGGGACAGTGCCTTAAACTTCTGACCGTGCTGGAACTCGTGAGCACCATCGTTTCACAGCGCGCAGCGTGCTACGGATTGGTTCATTGTAACCATTGTGGACTTAGAATTATTATGCTTTCTACTTCTGCCCACCTGACTGCTCGACGCATAGCTTGCCATAGAAAAGTCCATCGTCTCCAATAATCTGCATCGCTGCTCCAAGAACGAGGCCATAGATTCCCACGTCGGAATTAAGATTGTGAATGCGGGGTCGTTGAATCGTTCCTCCCACTTCTCTTGGCTCGGTGGATCCAGTTTTCGGAGAAGTTCCTGCACGACGATGCATCCTGCGATCTGCTCAGTGGTGCCCAAACCCTGGAGCGCGCGCATATGTATTCTTGATTTTTCTTTATTCTGGCTATAATAATTACACGATCTGGTTCAGATTTTGCACTCTAGAAGATATAGTCATCCTGCCTAGTCATCTAGTAACAGTGACATATAACAGAAGCCCGGATATAAAATGTCGTTGCTCTCTTATAGTCTTTAAGCACTAGGCGCTAATAGGACGTTCGTGCTCAGTGGTGCCCAAACCCTGGAGCGCGCGCATATGTGAATTGAACTTGTCTGAAAGCTCCCGAAGCATGACCACTGACCTAGGTTCAGGCCTGAAAGACCAATCGCCGATTATTGAACCTGTTTTCCAACAAATCTAATGCCACAGCATAAGTGCCATCCAAGATCTCCAGCGATCGAAAAGTCTCCAATGCCGATTCCCGCAGACAGGAACGCAAATGCTGGAGCTTTTCTATGTTTGTTAAGTCCGGATGGCTGTCGATGATGGTGGCACAGCTCACATACCCGGCGCTTAGCGTCGGCAAATGTATAGGAGGCAGGGATGGTACTTGTCTACGGTGAGGTAGAAATTGCGAGCCGGCAAAGTCAACCGTAGTGTTTCCTCCAGTCAAGATAGAATGAAGCGGCATGCGGCCGCTCACAGTCCGACGACTCATTCTGCCAAGCGGTAACTAACCTTTTCATTTTCTCGCATAATTCCGTTGACTTAAGCTTCAAACGAGGGGGAACGTTGTGAGTTGCTGCGGACAAGGCAACTCTACATTTATACCCGATACTTAGTCAGCATGGCTCTTCTCCGGCAAACAACGCTCATATTCAATGACACGACAAAGAGTACGTCCGAGAGAGACAGAACATCAATCTTAGCGTGTCGTCGGGCGCTGCGTAGACACTGCAAATAGATTTGTTCCTTTTGGCTATAACAATGATCCGATGTGATCCAGATTCAGCAATCTGATAGATATCACCATTCTCTATGATACCAAATTTGGTTGCTCTAGCCTTAATAGTCCCTTAGATTTGTGGATGCCCCAGATGTTCGTCCTTTGCGGGGGCGGAAGGGGGTGTGGCGAAATTTTGACACTTAACGGTCAAGGTCCGATATCACAGGATTGTGGATACTAAATTTGGTTCCTATAGCTCTTATTGTCTCTGCGATCCTTGAACTCATATTTTGCAATTGGCTAAACCGACCATGAAGCCTGTGTGTTAGAGAGAGACAGAGCGAGAAAGAATGAAATTGTTTTCTTGATTCTGGCTATAATAATTACACGATCTGGTTCAGATTTTGCACTCTAGAAGATATAGTCATCCTGCCTAGTCATCTTGTAACAGTGACATATAACAGAAGCCCGGATATAAAATTTCGTTGCTCTAGCTCTTATAGTCTTTAAGCACTAGGCGCTAATAGGGACGGACAGACAGACAGGGCTCAATCGACTCGGCTATTGATGCTGATCAAGAATATATATTCTTTATGGGGTCGGAAACGATTGCTTCTGAAAAACATCCATTTACACCACAAATCTAATATACTCCAATACTCATTTTGAGTATCGGGTATAAAAAGACATCCTGTTTTGCTCACTAGTCATTGGAATTTCGATAGCAGCATTAATTACCATGGTAGCGGCAGCGTTAGCAGGGATACCAACGTCTCTAGCGGGAAGATGGTCACAAAGAGTAACACGAGCAATCAACCACAACAATCGAGCACAGCAAACGAACAGCTCTGTACGAACCGTATATACAAAGGCGACCGGTGTAAGAAACTTTTCTTGCGGGAAGGTGACCCAAAAGAGAAGCGCAAGCCACCAGCTACGTGCACTACCGAATATTCAAGGGCCGGTGTATATATGTATGGATAACTTATATGGTCGATGCTACTGGTTGAGATGGCAATTAGTTTAGCCCTTTGAATGATATATTAGGTTGTGATTGCACTGATGGAATATTTATTGTACAACCACGTCGGGGTCACCAAATGTTAAGCTATTAAGCGCTTTTAATAACTGTTGTAAGTTTGACTTAAATAAAAAGTCGAGCGGGTTTAAATAAGAGGCACAATTTATTGTTATATGTAGACCGACGTATGCGTATGTACATATATTGCAATTTATTGATACACGAAAGCGAAAGTGTGAATGTTAGTTGTATGTATGTGGGTATATGTATATGAATGAACGACTGATGATCAACGATGCGATTCTGATGGCTACGAAGATCAACTCCAGACTGTCTAAGGGCAGGCGGACCGACTTGCCTGTGCCCTAATGCAGGCGAGCGTACAAAGAGAGCAATAGAAGTAGAGCTCTAGAGCTGCAGCTAATCCCATAGCTCGGGCTGAAGCTAAGCAGAGAACGAAGCGATAGATAGAGCGCGGGCAAACGGCAGTAATAAGAAAAGCGAACAGAGAGTCTAAAGAACGGCCGCTGCTGTGCGTAAGCATTGCGGCAAGCAAAGATTTTATACAGTGGGCAGTGTAAATATCAAACAGAAATGGTGATCTACGTTAGGCTGCACCACTGGCTATAATTTAAAGTATTTATGCTGATTGACCCGACACTTACTAAAAGAACTAAGCATGCAGCTAGTTTTCTGAACACCTGTCTACTATGGTAAATAAGGCCATGGGCGTGCTTGGGTTCATAAAGAGGTGGTCAAAGGAATTTCACGACCCCTATATAACAAAGACTCTCTATACCGTCCGATCTTAGAATACGGCTCCTGTGTATGGTGCCCTCAATACAAAGTACACCAGGACGATATACGGCTTACTCTTTGCTCTGAGGGGCCTTAACTGGGATGCGGGTGTGAGACTCCCATCTTACTCTAGTAGACTGCTAGTTTTAGTTAGCCGTAGAAAAATGCTTGGTGTGATTTTTGTGCACATCTTGATATTTGATATGTGGTGACATAGACAGCCCTGATCTGTTGACCCGCATAAGCTTCAAGATTCCTCCTCATTAGAAATTTTATACCGTTGTTCCTTCCACTTTTTAGATCGAATTATTCCTCGCATGCGCCGTTTAGGGTCTTATGCTCGGATTATAATTCCCTCTACCATATTATATCCACCATTAATTCTCTTCCTCTTATTAAGTGACTAATCCTCACACACCTTTTTTAGAATTAGCAATTTTAGTGGTATTTGTATTTGTATTTTTAATGCATACTTAGTTTATTAGTAAGTGTAATACTAATTTTCCCCGAATATTAGTCTCACAACTATCTTTCCTGCATGTTCGCGTTCGGTTCGGCTACGCGCCGTTCATCATGCGGCAGCGCCCCTTGGTCGGTTGGGCGGTAGGAGGGCTGCGTTTTGCCTGGGATCCGCGTGTAACAGCCTTCCGCTGGTTTCACACGGGCCACTTGACGGTGCAGTAACTGCATCGTCTTTTGTAAGATGCAGTCATTGCATGTCAACGTCCAGGAAGGGTGTAAGAAAAAAAAACCAACGTTGATGTTGGTTTTTCGCGGGGATCGCTGGCACACTCTTTCCTCCCTGGGTCATGGGTTCACTCAGCATCAGCGTGCAGACGAGCTGTGGGCTTGGACAAGAAGTCAGAGTATGCCTGGTAGGGAGTGGAGCCCAGAGGCATCTCCTTCCACAAGTCCGAGACAATGCCAGTACCGCGGGGAGCGGGAATCAGACGCACTGAGACGGAGCCGCACTTGCCAGTAACCTTGCAGGGCACGGTGTGGGGCTTGCCGATCTTGTTGCCCCAGTAGCCACGACGCACGGGCACGACGGACAGCTTAGCGAGGATGATGGCGCCACGAATGGCGGTGGCAACTTCCTTGCTGCACTTGACGCCCAAGCCAATGTGACCGTTGTTGTCACCGATGGCAACGAAGGCCTTGAAGCGGGTACACTGACCGGCACGGGTCTGCTTCTGCACAGGCATGATCTTCAGCACATCATCGCGCAGAGCCGAGCCCAGGAAGAAGTCGATGATCTCGAACTCTTTGATGGGCAACGCGTACAGGTAGATCTCCTCCAGGGACTTGATCTTGCCTTCGCGCACCAGGCGACCTAGCTTGGTGACTGGAACCCACTCCTTGGAGTCCTCCTTGCCACCACGTCCACGGCCACGACCGCGTCCACCACGACCCCCACGAGAGCCAAAACCGCCACGGAATCCACCACGGGCTGGGGCTGCGTCCGCCATTATGTAGGTCTATCAAGTGTATTAGGGGTGAAAGACAAAAACGAAATGGCGTTTTCACATTTTGTTGTGGCGGACTCTGGCAAGAAAGTTGAAAAGAAAATTAAACTGTTCTGAAATGTCGCTTAAACGTAAATTTAGTGCTTTATAGAATCACTTCGACGCTATAGATGACAAAAAGGCAAAGTGCAAGTACTGCAAGTCGGATTTGAGTATAGCCGGAGGTTCACAGAGCAATTTGACACGGCATTTGAAGTTGAAACACCCAGCTTCTCTCGATGAAATTGAACGACAAGGAAGTACTGAAGCCAGTTATTCTGCCGCCACAACATCGAAGCAAAAAATAACTGCATTTGTTCAGAATCCACCGACAGCGCGTAAAAGTGAGCAATTAGACAAACAGTTAGTGCGAATGATTTCCAAAGGCCATCATGCTCTCCGGATCGTGGAGAAGCCGGATTTTAAGAAGTTGATAGAGGACGTTTCAAATTGCCCTGGATAAAAGTTGCCCACACGTAAAACGCTGTCTAATGTGCTACTTCCAAATATACACAGTGAGTTAATTGCCAATGTGAAAGAGAAGATAGCATCTGCATATGGAGTTTGTCTCACTACTGATAGATGGACATCGCTCACCAATGAGAGTTACATAGCTAACACTTCATAGACAAGACGAATATGGAACTATCTTCGCATATGCTAGCTTGTGAAGCGTTCGGTGAGAGGCACACAAGCCTCAATCTTTGCTCTTTTCTTCAGAGTGTTGCAGCTGATTGGAAAATTGAAGATAAAATTACTGCAATTACATCAGACAATGCTGCCAATATTGTATCAGCGATAAAATTGGGAAATTGGCGCCATATTCCATGCTTTGCCCACACTTTGAACATCATTGTACAGAAAGCACTGGGACCAATTGACAGTGTAAGGGTCAAAGCAAAGGCAATTGTAGAATTTTTCAATCGCAGCTCATCCGGATTCAAGAAGCTCAAAGAAATGAATAGCCAATTAAATCTTCCCGACCTTAAGCTGACACAAGATGTGCCTACACGTTGGAACTCAACATACAAAATGTTTCTGCGCTTGTCTATTTTAAAAGATGGAGTTATGGTGGTCATTTCCCTTCTACGCCCTGAATTAGTACTGTCCCAGGCAGAATGGGAAATTATTGATGGTGTATTGCCAGTGCTGAAGCCATTTTCTGAAATAACAACTGAAATTTCAGCAGAGAAAAATGTCACCTTATCAAAGGTTATTATAATGGCCACATTGCTGCATCAATCCATAGCCAAAGCTATTCCAAAAGATGATTTTCTACGGGCAGTCGTAGAAAAACTCAAAGAGGAGTTGACCGTACGTTTTGGGGATTTGGAAAATAATATTTTGTATGCAGAGAGCACCATACTAGACCCAAGATTTAAAAAACGGGGTTTTAGGTCCGATGAATGCTATGAAAAAAGAGTTGCAGCTCTACAATGTAAGATCGCTCAAACGGGATTGGTTGATAATGTTGCTGATGATCTGTCTTCACAAATCGAAACCGTCAAAACGTCGCCAACCAAAAGTGGCATTTGGGACGAGTATGACAAGCAGTTTAACCAAGTAACAAAGCCAAGCTGTAACACGGCTGCTGCCATTAGAGAGGTAGATAAATACCTAGCAGAAGAGAACATCAATAGAAAGCAGGACCCTTTGATCTGGTGGACGCAGCGAAAAAATGTATATCCACGACTATACGAATATGCGTTGAAACGTCTTTGTTTGGTGGCCACGTCGGTGCCATGTGAGCGCCTATTTTCCGCAGCTGGAGAAATCGGACGCTTTTGACGCCCAATAAGGTTGAAAGCCTTATGTTTTTACATAATAATATGTGAAATACTGAAAAAAGGTGTGTATTTTTAAATTATAATATATATAATATTATATAATATATATATAATATATATAATAATAATATATATATATAATTATATAATATATATATAATTTTAAAATTATAATGGACAACATAAGTAAAATTAATTATTCTTTTTCAGCACCGACTTCTAATACATAAAAAATGGAAAACGAGATACTTAATTGAAACTGTTGGTTGTGTCCTAACGATATCAAGTACTAAGTACGAATTAAAATAAATTTAAGAAGTTAAAACGTCAATGAATTGTAGTGCATTATTTACATATAAGCTTAAAACTAGATATGAGACTTTAAAATTGAACTAAGAACAAAAAGACCGATAAACAAAACAGGCCAAAGAACAAAAAAGAACGAACAAAAAGGACAATGAAAAAAAAGAACGATGAACAAAAAAGAACGAACGATAAACAAAAAAGAACGATGAACAAAAAAGAACGAACGGAAAAGAACGATGAACAAAAAAGAACGATGAACGAAAAAGAACGAGTAAGATGAACAAAAAGGAACGAACTAAAAGAACGACTTAGTTCACTGCATAAAAATGAACGAACGAACTTATTCGTATATTCGCTTCTAGCTCTTGCTTAAGCCGGTTGTGTTTTTTTCTTGCTCCCGCATTCTCCGCCCTTTGCCTAAATATCATACAACATTGTTGTGACTTTGTTTTGATATATTATCGCATCTCTTTAATTTGAATCTACTTTGTGTTAACCACCAGTTTTTTGTTTGTAAACAAGTGTTTAATATAAATTCAATATTGCAACGTAACGCATCGGACTCGTGCAGGCAATTTTTTATTGTTTTTTGCCCAGTCTGCTTTTCGTTATCGCTTCTTCGGTGTGCACTGTTCTCGCGCATCAACGTTTGCATCGCCCACACTCTCTCGTGAGCATAAGCGGGCTGCTCGCATTGTTGCTCTCACTCTCTCTGGATTGCCTATACTCTCCCTCTCTGTGGACTTTTCTTTTGTGTCTCTGCTTTGGTGAGTTTACTGCTCGTTTTCTGCACTTCGTTGGATCATCTGCTTTGAATTATTGCCGCTGCAGCTGATTGCAAAGAAATGTGAATTCGGTGGTGTTATCATTGGTGATTCATTTCTTAGCTGCTGGCTGTGCGACAATTTTGCCCACCTAAAATGTGCTGGTGGTAGAAGTTTTGGCCGGCTGAATGATCTGATCTCGAAACGCATGGGCCTGTCTTGGTCATGTCTGGCTTGTCGGGAGATTGAGGCCGAAATGCGCACATTTATGAGACAGACTCGAACTGGGTTTCTGGATGTCCGGAAACAATTTATGGCTCTCAACGACAATTTTCTTGCCCTTGAATCACAGTTTCTTGGGCTCAAACTCTTGAGCGAATCGCCTAGACGGAAAATTCTGCGTAATGATACCAATCTCTTGCAACCTAATCCGATTGGTACGCCTGCCTCCCACCTTCATCCATCGGAAGCATTTCCGTGTAGTCATGCCACGCCGTTATCTGTAAATCCGCCAACGGTGGCTCCGGAGTTCTTTACACCGAGCAATGTGCTTCCTTCGAGCACCCAACTTCCCAACAGCATCAATCCCATCCCTGCAGTTTCTGTGGCTGTCACTTCTGACGCGGTGAGTGCTCCTAGTGCGGGTGTGCTGGTTGCTGACGACGTCTTGCCAATTCCTGCTCCAATTCCTGCTCCAATTCCTACTCCAATTCCTACTCCAATTCCTGCTACAGACATTGCTGCCAATTCCCCTGCCCTTGGACCGAGATCTCTTTTAGGAGTGGCTCCACCATCTCGATCTCGCTCGGGACTTCAACTTAGAGCAGTGGTCCCTCGAAAAGCAATATTTGTTTCTCGTCTTATTCCTGAGGCTACAACGGAGGATGTTAAACAACATCTTTCCTCTAAGCTTAACACTTCGCCTGTTGATATAGTTGTGACTAAATATACATTTAATCATAAGCGCAACATATCATCCTTTAAAATTCTTCTCCCTGATTCTTTAATATCCAGTTCTCTAGAACCGTCAATATGGCCTGAGCATACAATTGTGCATGAGTTCCTTCTCAAAGATTCGAACTCGAATCCAAGAATTACCGAACATGCTCCAAAAAACTGATGTACTATTTTTTCATGCACTATCAGAACGTTCGCAGTTTGCTGGAAAAATTGCGTCAAATTCATACTAATAGCGCGTCCTTTGATTTCGATGCCATCGCGTTTACCGAAACCTGGCTTAACTCCTCTGTCAATGATCATGAAATTTTCATTGATAGTAACACTATTTACAGAATGGACCGCCCATCTTTTGCAGGTGGGGTTCTGATTGCAGTTAAATCTGTTTTCTCATCTGAGTTATTCCCATTCAATAACATTCATGGAATTGAATTTGTTGTAGCCAAAGTTCGTGTTGGCTCCGCATTTTTCTATTTAACCTACTCTTACATTCCTCCCAGGTCTGAAGCTGAGCTTTACTTACACCACCTCTCAGCAATTAATACTGTTGTTTCTGCATTAGGGTGCAATGATCGAATTATTGTCATGGGGGACTTTAACCTCCCATTTCTTTCTTGGCTGCCTTGTGATGACGCTAACCTGTTGTTTCCCAATTGCCATAATGACTTTATCAATGGGCTAACGGATATTTCCCTTGTCCAAATTAATGCCGTTAAAAACATTAGGGACAGACTTCTTGACCTCGTGTTTGTTAACGATGCTTCTCTTGCTACGGTATCTAGAGCAAGCCCAATATCTCACCCTGAAGATCCTTACCATCCAACTTTGTTGATATCACTGGAGTGTACACAATCTGGAGGTGCTGACAGTTCCATGGCTCCTTGTCACATAAAGTGTTTTCGCAAAACAAACTTTATCGATTTAGATCTACATCTCTCGCGTGTTGATTGGTCGTTTCTTTATTCATTACCGAACATAGATGCAACTGTTAACTCGTTTTATAGTTTTATTTACTCCGCCCTCAATACGTTTGTTCCAGATATCACTGTACCTGTATCGTCCAAGCCTCCCTGTTCTCCAAGTATTTGTCATACTTAAAAAATAATAAATCCCGGCTCTATAAAAAGTACCAGAAGTCGGGCTCCACGTTGGCCTTAGCTCTATACTCCTC